AAATTGTGAATTTCTTGACCCTGGGGTCTCACATTTCCCCCTGGGGAGGGGGTAAACTTTACTATAGTTTATATAGGGAAATCACATTTTGGACCAAAATTTGTTTAATTTCCATTGGAAGTAATTTAATTTGGGTTAGCATTATCAGTATTAGGTAGCAGTTTGGTAATAAGCACATATTAGCCCTGGCTGACCCCCCCGGGACTATTGGCTGGGGCCATAAAGGGTCAAATTGACTGAAATTTCAAAAATTGTGAATTTCTTGACCCTCGGGTCTCACGTTTCCCCATGGGGATGGGGTAAACTTTACTAGTTTATAAAGGGAAATCACATTTTGGACCAACATTTATTATGGTTTATAATGGCAAATGGTACTTTGAATATTACATGTTTATGACTTGATTGGAATTATAACCCTGAGTTGACAGTTTGATACTTTGAAAATTTTGAGCCAGCCCTACCCCCAAGGGCTGAAGGGTGGGGCCTAAAGGAGTCAGTGTGCTTAAATTTCTTCATTTTCCTTTTTGAGAATCAGAGGTGCTAGTTTCAAATACTAATTAGTCTTAAATCTGTATGTTAGATATTGAATAAGGTGGTTTTATTGTTTTTTGTCTTTGAATAATATTTCTGTTCGTGTTAAAAACAAAAAATTAACTCTCTGTATAAATATATCAGGTGACCGTTAAGGCCCATGGGCCTCTTGTTTTACTTACAGTCATAAAACTTAGAACGTTTTTAATCTTTTTGCAATCCAAGGAAATTAGCACATATGATAAATATACACACCACTTCTAAGAATATTGCAGAGGGAGGACCTGTCCATTCAAGTCTCACAAAGATGAGTACCGGGGCCCACTTGTATAAAACATCTCAAAGTTAAGGAAAATCTCAAGCAATGTATTGTTTTTGGGAAATCTTAGACTTGAGGAAATATCAAGAGTTGAGATCGATGTTTTATACAAGTGGGTCCGGGTAATTTATCAATGAACCACAGACCTTATCAGATATACAAATGTAATGCTGATAAGGACCATACATAACTTGGTCCAGCATTATTTGCCTCGTTTCTGACTTTCATCTGTCGAGTGATGCAGTACGTTGTACTGTTAATGAGATAAATGTAATCACGAAATTAAGACCGTGATCTTATTTAGCATTGCATACATGTATGTACTGTATTACATACAATAAGATGTGTAACTGTCAGTATTTTGCTGTATATTTGAATTGTCGACCTAAGGAAGACACAATGTCGTCAATTTGTCATTACTAAAAGTATTGACATTGAAAAACCGCAGACACCTGCAATGTTAAAGTTATTTTGTAAACATAGAATTATAATGTATCCATTTCTATTTTCGTTCAGGGTACACTTTAATTTTTGGATGAAATTTTTGAATACGTAAGTTTTATTATTTTTCTAACGTGGTGCTGATATGAAATTTAAAATTCCAACATGAACAGTTGTTTAGCAGCTTTTTTAACAAAAATAAATCTTCAAGGGCGGATCCAAGATTTCGTGTTGAGTTGTGTCACGTACACTGTTTTCAGAATACAGACTATAACTTTCCCTACTTATGATCTTGTAACAGATCCATTTTGTATGGAAAATAATGTTTTCAGAGACCCTAAACTTCTCTCCTGTAATTGATTTCTATATCAAATACATGAGGACAAATGACTGCACCTTGTCTTATTCCCAGATTAGCGAAGCTCAAGATATCAATCAGTCTAATCTATATGGTATCCAATGAAATTTTTGTATAGAAATTCTTCAATTAAAATTAAGTAAGCTAAAGTTAATTGCTGAAATTATATTGTATTTAAGCACTCAATTTACGTAAAGAAATTTTGATCTAGAAGAGCTTGCAGAGCATACCCCCACTATCTTACTATCTTGTGACCTGTTTATATTAATGTTAATTATTTAAAACCCGGTCAGAAATATCCCAGAAATGATATATTGGAATTAACGTTTGATTGTCATGTACATATAGTAACGGTTAAGATGACACTACCCAGGACATTAACCATGCACTTACGTGACTATATAGCTAGTACTTTGTATATATGGTTACTACTGAATATGCAATGCTTATAAGGAATTGTTTTATTTCTATATAAAAAAAATTTTTTTTTTTAAATATTTCATTTAGATTTAATAAAAAAAATCCCATGACAGTTAGATAATACATCAGACATAAATTAAGGGCTATATAGGTAACTTAATGCAAGAGGCTGGGGGGAGAGGTGGGGCACTTATTGTGTTGAATCTATGTACCATGTATGTATAAAAGTGACAATCAAAGCTAATTGTATTTGCACTGATGGTTTCCTGATCAATAGCTATACTTTACCAGGTATTATCGTTCCATTTATTTCGATGGAGACTGGAGAGTGTACGTGCAGTGACATAACTTTATCGTACTAATGCATGATCCCATACATATGTTGGAGAGACTTTCGTGTCATCTCCAAAGAGAATTTGATTTACCTTTAAAGGTTTGCCATCACCTTCAAGAGCTAACACAGCTAAACACATACTATAATAATAAATAATAATAATTGGAGGTTCTTATATACCGCTTTATCACAACTTAGTTCGTAGGTCGTCTCAAAGCAGTTCACAAATTATTATCTGTGGTTAAAGGGCCTTTGCAACCAGCCAATACATTTCTCAACTCCCTGGGGAGCATACAGCTGGAGCTGGCGCCATTTCGGCGCTAACAGCTAGCATTCAACAATTCTAGCACTGCCCAACCACGTACTCATTTACAGCTGAGTAGACTGGAACAAGCGGAGTAAAGTATCTTGCTCAAAGATACAACACATTTCCGTGGCGCGAACCCGCAACCCTTCGGTCACGAGCCTGGCGTCCTACCACTGGACTACCGTGCCTCCTACTAAAGAAATAATGAAGTCACTTATATAATTAGTACGCATGCAAATCCACATATGGTCCATGTATATGTGCATGCTCCAATATAGGATGGATAGCAGTGATTTTTCTACCTCTTTTAGACAGTACTCACTTTAATGAAAATAGGAAACAGAGAAGCATGATTTGGAGAAAATAAAGTGATTTTTGAGAACAGGCTATTATAAGGCCTCATGTCCATGGAATGCTAAGTTCACGGAGAGAAAAAATGCTGGATAGAAAAAACAAAATGATTCCTGGACAGCTATCTTGGATTTTGCTTGTAAAGTTTGTTACTGCTGTTTCTCAGAAAGTATTACCGAACCCATGGCCAGGTAATGATAAAGAGGCCATACTGAAACTTGGTGTGCATAATCCTGTTAGGCCAAAAAAAAAAGTCTGTTTAGGGTTGCATGGGCAAAAAAACAAGGGTAGGTAGCTATAGGTCGATTTTTTGGGGGGGGGGTTTGTATGTTTTTGTGTACTGTGTGGTCATGTGATTATGACCCTACTATTGTATGTAAAACAAAGAATTACATAAACAAGGTTCATTTGGAGGCAAATTGTTCTCCATATGATGACATTTAGCGCCAACACGGAGTTTGAAGTCATTTTGAAAGGCAAGGAAACCTCTAAAATTCGAAAATCAGCGGGTTTTTTAAAAAACAAATGTTGGTTGTTTTTGATGGGTTTTTTTTCATCAAAAAGTTTTGGGTAGGGGGTAAAAAGCTAGGGTCGGTCGGCAACCCTTAACAGACATCTTTTTTTTTGGCCTTGGTCTATGTACAGCTTTATAAATGTGCATGTTATGATTTGAGATGGATCTGAAAATTAAGCATGGAACGAGCCCTTCAAAGATCATGTTGCAAAATAATTTTCATGATGTCCTTGTATTGGTCATCTGTATATATGTGCTTGTTCCGAGGATTGAAAAGAACCGAGAAATTAGAAGAAACTTTATAGCTAAACATACATACCATTGACATTCCATATATATCTTTCATGGTACTGTTGGTGCAAAGATCCCTCTTGGATCTTGTGTTTTGATACAACATAAAACAGCAACAACAAATTACAATATCACAGCACAAATTTTTATTAAAACTTCAAAGATTAAGAGAAATAAATAATAGTTACATGTCACACGACTTTAATTTGTAGATTATTGCTTATTGTTAGGTCAAAAATAAATCTGTTTGTGTTGTTCGTATTTGAATCCAATCCTACTTCGAAGGAAATGTACAAATTTATTCTAAAAAGGCATGAAAAGTCCATTTATAATATATAAATATATTTGCGGTCTTTGTTACACATCCCATGTTCAGTGTCAAAATTTGTGAGAAATGTTTGTTAGCATTGTGGTACACAGGAATATTGATGTACAATGTATGTATAACGCAGTACATGTATTATTCACCTCAGCTTCGATTTCATTGGTTGGAAAATCAATGTACATATATACAGTACCAACTATACCAGAGGGATGATATAGTATTTGTATTTCCTGCTGGCATGAAATGAAATTGCCGCATAGATATATATGTATCTCTACAATCTTTAGCACATTAACCTCTTGGGTCTCTTGTCCAAAATGTTCTGCATTGCATTTTAACTGATGTAGTTAACATTACTCTGGTGCTGTACTGTTTTAAATCATTGATCTTGCATGGAGGCAAGTTCAGCATACATCGATGCCCTCACTTTCTCTGGGGACTTGCTACTGCGGGCAAGACAGAATGCTGAAATTGGAAAGTTGTAATATTTATAATAAATGCAACTGCTATAGATTGAATGTGAATTGACAAATATAAACATTTCAAAAATTCACATTTCAGAGGTTTACGTACAAACAGCATATCTATTTTCAGTTTATATGGAAAATAAACTGTAAATGTAAAATTTCTTTTGAGACATTAAATACACTAGATCAGATATTGGTTAAATGGCATGATATTTCATTGAGTTAAGTTAGCTACTTATAACATTTTATACCATCCAAGGCATGTGCAGGTACAGTAGTTGTACTGCACTACTAGTACGTATATACCAGAAAGCTTTCACCCTTTACTGGGAAAATTCATATTCACTTATAACCTAATTTCGCTTTTCACCTGTGATTTTATATATATGTTGTGTACTTATATTCACTGTGATGATATATTCGCCATCATATTACAAAGGGCAAAAGGTATAATATCAAACTTCAACAAATTACATTATGGTCATGTGTATAGTATTGATTGTTTCTCTTGAATCAAAAAAATCAAGTACAATGTATGTACAATATACTTTTAAGATAATTGGAAACTATCTTCGTGATTTTTCTCCTATATTTCATTATATTAAACATTTATTTCAGTGTTTAGAACCCATGTCTGTCCCAAGATGTTCTATCACCAGTTTTATACGTTGCACTCAGTTGAAGCAATTTTATCATAGAATTTACCTGTAACAGCCTGGACAATAACCTCATGGGGACCCTTCAAGTTGTTTGAAGCGAGCTCCTCGTCCGTAAAGAAGGTGTGCAGTAATTGTGCAGCCATCTTCTCCCCGTTCAGGTCCCGGCCACGCGTCCTACCTGCAGCAATGGCAGCGTCTCGTTGGTCACGATGTATGAAGACATGTGACCCTGAGGACAGCTCAATCATCTACAGAACAAAGGTCAAGCAAAGGTCACACTATAATTATCAACACGCAGTGTAGGGACATAGGAGATGGCGTTATCACGATCAGGCCTTACTAATTAACTTCATCAGGTCAAAATTCTACTTTCCAATGCACGCGATTGGGCAGAAACGGTTTGTGTCTAGTTGCATTTCCAAAGAAACTTGGATGTATAAGTAGCTATATATAGGTTGGTAATTTTACAATAAATATTAACTAGATCTAGAGTATCATTGTCCATGCATGCATGCCTATCCTTAACAGTCCTTCTGAAAATTGTCTGAAAGAAACGTAATAGTAGGCAAAAAAAAAAAAGGGTGAAAAAATGTCTTACATATTTTCATACTTACACAGTATTTGATCACTGATCAACAGGTTTGTTGTTTGCTGGTATGTTCAAACCTGTGTCAGTTGAATTGTGTGTATATTTGTTCATAATGTCGGCTACCCCAACAAAAGTACTGCAGTAAATTCATATCAAAATTTGATATCTATTGACCATGACACGGCTATAATCATCAATATCTTATTGAATGAAACCTTCATAAGTTTTACTTGGTGGAGGCTGAGCAGTTCTTAAGGATAAATATAAAGCACACATACCAAGGTAATCACATATTTGAGTCAAAAAGGAAGCATGTACCCTGTATTTTAAGGCATCCTCAGGAGATAATATCCCAGCCCTTGGTCTACCTTCTACAATTAAAAAAATAATAGTTTATTGTCAGGACTTGTTCTACATTAGAGACAAGATCTGAATTAGAAGTCCTTGATAAGATCAACAGGGCCGTTTTCGTTTAAACGGCCAAACCTGCTGTGACAACTGTGGCGTAAGGAGTAGCATATATATACCATCATGGATGTTGATTTTAAAACTTCGATTTACAATTCAAATTTCTAGGGGTGTCACAATACGCCAAGAGTGTATCACGGTATATTACAATACAGAATGAATATATTGCGATGTGTATCCCAATATATATTGTCATAGGAAGGATGTGCTCAATTTTATAATAAGTTGTTGTCATGATTAGAATGTTATCAAACTTAATCATATAATATGGTTACATAGATTTAAGATTTTTGTCAAACTGACCATCGATTACAAATTTTGAACTATTAAAAGCCTGCTTTATGCATATAATTATTGGCATATCTGTTAGAATTTGCAGTAATTTGTTAAGTTAAAACACACCAAGTAGATACATAAAAATATTCTTTTGAAAAATATTGCAATACAGCAATATTTCATCTCTGTATTGTGATACCGGAGTATTGCGATATACCTGTTTTCCGACATATTGTGACCGCCCTACAAATTTCAGTCTCTATACTCAGGATAGGTCTAGACATACCCTGATGTAACACATTCCAAGGTCCCTGTCAATACTAGTTACTACTTACTTGCATTTTTGAGTCACAAGTGTTTAGGGTTATTGGGACACTAGCTGAATTTACTACCTACCTGGGAGGTCACGTGTTTAAGGTTATTGGGACACTAGCTGAATTTACTTCCTACCTGGGAGGTCACGTGTTTGGGGTTATTGGGACACTAGCTCGTGTTTAAGGTTATTGGGACACTAGCTGAATTTACTTCCTACCTGGGCGGTCACATGATTGGGGTTATTGGGACACTAGCTGAATTTCCTTCCTACCTGGGAGGTCACATGATTGGGGTTATTGGGACCCTAGCTGAATTTACTTCCTACCTGGGAGGTCACGTGTTTGGGTTTATTGGGACACTAGCTGAATTTACTTCCTACCTGGGCGGTCACATGATTGGGGTTATTGGGACACTAGCTGAATTTCCTTCCTACCTGGGAGGTCACGTGTTTGGGGTTATTGGGATACTAGCTGAATTTACTTCCTACCTGGGAGGTCACATGTTTGGGGTTATTTACTTCCTACCTGGGAGGTCACGTGTTTGGGGGTATTTGGACACTAGCTGAATTTACTTCCTACCTGGGAGGGCACATGATTGGGGTTATTGGGACACTAGGTGGATTTACTTCCTACCTGGGAGGTCACGTGTTTGGGGTTATTTGGACACTAGCTGAATTTACTTCCTACCTGGGAGGGCACATGATTGGGGTTATTGGGACACTAGGTGGATTTACTTCCTACCTGGGAGGTCACGTGTTTGGGTTTATTGGGACACTAGCTGAATTTACTTCCTACCTTGGGGGTCACATGTTTGGGGTTATTGGGACACTAGCTGAATTTACTACCTACCTGGGAGGTCACATGTTTGGGGTTATTTGGACACTAGCTGAATTTACTACCTACCTGGGAGGTCACGTGTTTGGGGTTAAGGGCACCTGCTGTAGTTATACTATATACACAGACTACTTATGATTACCTGGTTCAGGAAGGGTTAGAGTCACCTGCTCTAGTTGGTCCACCAGGTTCTGTCTGAGGGTAATGATATGATCTGCAATAAACAGTATTATATATCCATAAAACAGGGGTGTGCAATTCCACTGGATGCCCTAGGCCTAGGCCTGATGCTAATTTACAATGTAATGGCAATCTGATTTTTGCAACAGCTGGGCTAGTGAAAATTTGCAATATTTAATCTGTGTGTATGTGAAAATTGATCTTATTGGATTTTGTAAATATTCCTGCAGACTAGTACATGTACTCCTAATATAACGGTGTACACCTCTGTATAATTCCTTTATGAAACAGCACACTGAATGAAGTTCAGTGTTTATATCTTTAAAGTTTAGTTTCTATGTACAAATTTAAGACATAAACATTAATTGATTGAAACACAATTATTGTCTGCTCCAATAAGTACTGAAAGGTAAAACAGAAAATCGAACCCAGGCTGCCTTGGTGAAAGGTGATTTTATTATTCACTGTGCCACCCAATTGCAACCACCCTTAACCCTTTCACTCCTAGGTAACTTTAGTAGACTCGACTATACATTTATCTGGGCAAGTCCATTATGGTCTACAGTGGTGACGCGGGGTTAACCCTTTCAACCCCCTATGTAACTTTAGTACTGTAACTTTACATTTTGTTTATCTTTGTATTTTAATTTTTGTATTCTTCGAATTCCATGATATGGCTGTGACATACTGAGGTCTGACTTCAGATTACTAAAGCATACTGTATCTATTAAATATGATATACAATTATATCATATACATGTACTGTAATTGGGGAACCTTTGCCCATGCAGTCAAATACTCGCCCATTTTCATTAACATCCATATATGTTTGCCTAGTGTTAATTTTGCCCTTAACAGGTTTTTATGCCCCCGCCATAAAATGGGGGGCATATAGTGTTGCCCATGTCCGTCCCGTCCCATCCATGAGTTGGGGCATTTATGTCATACAGACATTTTCTAGTCTGTATATACATTGCTTGTTGTAAACTAACATTCACTGTCACAATAAATTTGCCCTCATTGGGAGGGCGAAAAAGGCGAAAGTTACACTGCAGCGAAAATTTCCCAATAAATACTGTAGAAATAGATTTGTATGACTTACTACATTTGGTTTGTTTTAGTTCCTTTTCAAATTCTCCAAACTTTCTTGTCACCTGCTCACAGCACCGACATTGTGCCGTCTGTTCATGATCAAAGGTCTTGGTGTTAAGGAGTGTCTCTGGCCTCATACTTGGTAGGGCGACCCCGACACGGGGAGAGGGAAGCTTGATGGAATCAGTGCACGTGTGTCTCCTCGGCCTGGCCTGTGGGGCCACTACAGCATATCCCTTCTTCTGTATTGATTCTGAGATTCTCCTCAAAAAAAAAAAAAAAAAAAAAAAAAAAAAATATGTTTCATGCATGCATTGTTTTTTTGTGTTACCAAAATTTTCATGTAACATAACTTTTGCTGAAAACTTAATTAAAAACTTCACACGGAAATGACTCTTATTCCGCTTCAGATCCAAAGATGGAAAGGTATCTTTTGTACGTCCATTTATTTTGGTTTTGATGTTGGTTGCTGTCAAATTGATAGGTATTATTAACTGTTGGTACACTTTGTTACTCTATATTTCAGCTTTCTCAAAAGGAGGTGACTGTGGTGATAGAAGATGATGGGACAACAGTATGTGATGATGCCTTCTTCAAAAAGTTACCAGCTCAGACTGTCTTTGTCTTCCTTCAGAAAGGAGAGCGATGGAGGGGAGGTAATTACATAATACTTAAAATTACTCTTACTTTCAAATTTTCGTTGAAATTACATTATCTCGAAAGATCTAGGTAGATTGTCACAGTAATTAAAATGACACAAGTAACCACTTACATCACCATAGTAAATTCTGTTTACAAAGTTTTCTATATCGCAATTCTTTATGCTATATTTAAAGATATTGTACAGATTTCGCATTATGAAACTCTTTTGGAATCCAGATATAAGAAATTTCTAGGTAACATACACCCTTAAATAAAATAAAAATGTTTGGTCTTGTATGCTTATCATAATGTACATGTGTTTGATAATATAATCACAAAATTGAAATATTATGATAATGTTTACACTATGACATAAGATAACATTTTATTGACTAGGTCTTTTTTAAAGTTGTGTTTTGTTGTAATGATAAATCATGTTTTCAGCTGGAGCCTTGATACATGATGCCCTTAGCAAGTTGTACTGTACCTCCAGAAAGAATGAAATTGCTGGTCAAATTCGAGATCTCCTCCAGGGAGAGGATGCTCCAGAGAAAATTCACATCATCTCTCAGTATCTTGAAATGATGCAGACTAACACAGACTGCGAGAAGAGATATGAAGATGAAGACTGGTTTGATGGTAAGTTATCTCCCTTGATAACATGTATGTTTCCCTAGATAGCATGTTTCCCTAGATAGCATGTAATTATATGGGTTTTTTAAACCTGTTTCAAAACGCAGCATGTATGTATCATTTTTTGCATCATTGTGTATAATACTACATGTAGGACCCTATTGGTTTTACACTGAATCTGTCTATCCCACCCCCTTTTCCACAATGCAATTTCTTCTTCTTTGAAAGGACTGGCTTATGATTACTTTTCAGGTTAAAAGGGCGAAGTCGCTCGTTATAAATACAGCATTATATACATTCTGTACCAAAGGAATACTGTGGTGTAAAAAATCAAACAATATCATTCCATGACTTAAACAGTGATTATATTAGTGTTACCCCACGATGCCTTGTTAAAGAATAGAGAACACATTGGTCTTTACACATTAGTGCTATTAAAAATTATAAACTGTCAAATTTTTAAGCAACTTGGTGCAAGTAATAGCAGGGCTATTTTGGGACCATTTTCCTTTATAATTCTCGGCTTGTATTCAGATGACAATGCAACAGCATCATCTAAAATGAAGTGATCTTCAATGAATAAGGACGTTTCAGTATTTTAGATGATACCTTTCAAAAATGTAAGTATTTGGTATAATCCAAAGATTCCCTATTCGGTTAACCACAACACATATCTCCTAATTCCAAAGTCGCAGGCCCCATTCCACAAACAGCGAGAAAAAGCCATGCATATTTAATTTGCACTTAACAGTTATAGTTCCCAAAGGGTACAACAGTATTCCAAGAGCTGATAGGTTTGTAGTGTGATTGGGGAGTCTCACACATATATCATGATTTGGTGAACCTTGCATATAGCAAAATTTCCTCTTGTACAGTATTGTACACATGTATTTTTTCTATTTAGTTTTTGCACTGCAATACTTCCAGTACTTTGATTTCTAGTCATCTGTGGTAAAACAGCTCTGGTAGCTGATGTTTGTTTTTATGTAACCAATAATTTTCTTGAATCTTGTACCTTCTTGTTTCTAAACCACTGAAAGAATTGTCTCCCTTTTTACGGAAATGCATTAAGGATCCACGTACCACTGTCAAAACTGTAACTCAGTGTTGGAAACTGGGTAATTTTCGGAATGACAATAGCTTTGATAAATCATTTCTGAAAAGAAAACCATACCTTGCGGGGCATGTATGAGAAATTATAAAGATGAAATATACAAAACATAATCAACAAGTGTTCTGCAGAAATTCAGCGGGGCTAGGTAGGGATGTGAAACCTGGGCCTGTATTCATGAATTTGGTCTCATGCTCAAGCATGGATTTTGTGCTCAAACCAACTTTCTTGTATCGCACTCAAATCATGTCAAACGATCAAAAAGTCAAATGTAAAAATTGAAAACAGTATTTGGCTTCAAGTTTCTTCAAAGTTTCTTCAAATCATTGACAAAGTAAAGTTTAATTATTAATTTATAACCGTAACAAGAAATTAGGCTTGAGCACAAATTCCATTGCTTAAGCATGAGAGCGACTCCATGAATATGGGCCCTGCATGGACTTCAGACTGTTAAACTGGCGCTAATTTTTTCCCTTTTTTGAAAGATTATACTATCACTCCAACTGATTGAGCTACCTAGTCAACTCAGCTGTGCTATAGTTATATCCGAAAGCAAATTGAGGGGAGGTTAATGTATATAGAAAAAAAAACAGTGCAGTGGGACAGGGATCCTTAAAAATTGTCTTAGCTATACATATTTGGTCAGTTATATTGTTTAACTGTTAGGTTGTCTGATCCTCAGGCCTCAATAAGAAGTACAAAAGTAAGAGTGAGGTGATGAGACACAGTGCCCAGACGAGACTTCGCAGCTACTACACAACGGTAGGTACACACGAAAATCTTATACAGCAATTTCATTATGCAGGGTCAACATTTTCGGGGAATTCGAATGTTGTCCAACGCTGTAAAGTCTATAAGAATTGTTTTCTTGATTAGAATGGAGAATGGCAATAAGGTATTCACAGTTAAAATGTTTCACATGTTCTGGTTGTGGATACTATGAAAATAAAACCTCCCCGATAAATATTTAAGTGCGGTACAGTAAGACTCCTCACATGTACACTCACCGATGTACTGACCATTAGGACGTCACAAATGTTATCACAAGCTTGCTCTCAATATCTTCACCATTCTATTTAGATAACCGATCAATGGGGCCTGTATAAGCACATACATATTTAAACATTTCTTTCACTTAACAGAATTACCATAAAAAGGGTACACTTTTGAATTATTTAAGATTTTTTTGCAAATTATTCACATATCAATTGTAAGCTAGAGGTCAAAAAAATAAAATGCCTTTTGCTGTTCTGGAATTTGATATGTTTTATGTTGATATTGTCATGCAAACAAGTTGCAAAGTTATCAAAATTTGCAATATTTGGTTGACATGAAAACTTTTACGATTTATAGTTTATAAATCATTGAACATATCAAGCAAGTGTTCTGGTAGGGTTTTCTGCGCTGCTGAAGTTTGTCATATTTTATGATGCCCAGCTGGAAACAGTTAGCGATATTATCAAACTTATTGAACATAGCTAACAACATTAATTATTTTATATACATGTCTGTGTTTTTTGTTTGCTCATTCTGCAAAATATTTGTTGTTCACGCACAGTTATTTTGTCTTTCTGCACCAAAACAAATCTTCTTCAAATTTACCTACATCTGTTTATTTGTTGTTGATTTTTTTTGTCATTATTGGTATGTAGAGGATACATTTACATCTTGTTAGGTCTGTTACAACTGTTACAAAGTTACTTATATCTGTATATATTTTTAAAAAAATCTAATTATTGTCATCACAGTGTTTTTTCAGTCGCAGAGCTCGTACGTAAAGTGTAGCTATAAAACAAATAATAATTCTCACTTTTTAGTTTTACAAAAATGAAGGTACTGAAAACCGATTTTCTAAGCCTTTTTCTTTTCTTGCTTTTGGTACATATACCAATGTGAATTCAACTGGTAGTAATATTGTTTGAGCCCAGAACAGTTGTTCGCGCCCCCATTTTTCAAGAAGTCGCCTACATATATATTGTATACCAGGATATTTTCGCTGCAGTCTAATTTTCGCCTTTTTTCGTCAGCCGTAATTATGAGGGCAAATTTATCAAAACAGTGAACATTATTAAACAACATATTATGCATAGTATTAATTAAATGTGAAGGGCAAAATTAAAACTGAGCAAATATGGATTATTCTGGATCATGGCGAAAATTTGACTGGGCAAAAAAACATTACGGTATACAGTAACCAAGTACCAGCTGGGATACAGAATCTTGACATGCCTACCTTTGTGGGAACATTTCTGAGGTCCTCTGTAAAACAAAATAGATAGGTTATTTAGGCAATATGATCTTTATGTTCAGATCTCTAAATTTTCAATATTTATGTTATAATATTACCAAATTCATGATATCCGGTAATATCTATATGAAATATTGATTTTGACAGAAAATATTTAATAGCAAAAATGACTTCAATAATGTTTCAATGATTGTTAGCTTATATATATAATTATTATTAACTGGAAACATATATATTATCTTTACTTTATTTAATATTATATTTCATTTTATATCGTGTTTCATTTTATATCATATTTCTATTTATATCACATTTTCCTTGACATTTTTTTCTCATAAATCTCATTTCCCTTCATACCACATTTATCTTTTATTCACATTTCATTTTATATCACATTTCTCTTGCTATCACATTTCACTTTACATCACATATTTCACTCTATCACATATTCGGCCTGTTATCCAATGAATTCGCCCGTGTAATATGCCAGTCAGAAATCTATTGTGATGTCATAATATGGACAATGACGTGATGTCATAAATTGTGAATGGCACAACAAAATGTCTGTCTCCGTTGTATTTTACATTTCCCTCTGTAAAATTGTACATGACATTTAGAGGTATTTTGACATAAATTATAATCATAATAGACAATTTTGAGAAAATGTACGGCCATGTTTAAATTCTACGAAATTACTGACCTAAATTATTGTGGGTTTTTTTCAGGCAAAGGACCAAGTGGAGAAAGAAGCTGCTGGGGATTATAAAGATCTCTTACTCACCAGTTTAGACGATGTTCTTAACAAACTCAAACACAATGACTTTCACTCGACCTACTTTGACCGGTCCGCTGGCACGAAGCTGCGGCTGTGTGACAAGAAAGGCTGGTTTAAATGCCAAGGCCCATTTGACAGTGAATCATGTGACAAGTATCACACCATCAACCCCTACGCCTCCAAGGGATACCGTCAGTTGTTTGGTCTCTGGAACCTGGACCACATGTAAGTGCCCCACTTAGTGTTGTGTGGTCGAACAATATCCAGTAGTACCAGTGTCCTGTACACATTTTATCAACAGTCATGAAAATGTTTGGGAAATGAGTATGAACCCTATATCCTAGTGACCTTAGGGTGCCATTAAATGATGGACTCGTGGCTTATAGTACCTGATACATTACTGTACCTGGCGTGTTACAAGGAAGGCCTGTTTGACCCCTGTGTGTTCGCAGGTGTAATTTCACCCAAGGGATTTAGGAATCGGAAAGCAACTCATTAGCTTGGGGTTGAAAGGTGCTGCATATGTATGTATTAACCCCAGGTCCTACAAATAGTGTATATATACAAATAAACAGCTCTTAGAGTGCCAATTATTGATTAGATCACATTATATATTGATGGACTAGGTATATAGAATTGGCAAGCTTCCCATTAAACTTGAACAATAACACTGAGGTGAAACTTAATTAGAGAAATTTTAAATTTCATTCCATTCCAAGATATACATGGAAATTGTACTTGCAGTGTGGTTAAGGCAGTACAGTTATGCTTAATTATAATACCCCCTCCCCCCATCACCCTCATGAATTGGTTCGACAACATGTTTAGCTCAACTGATCCGAAGGATTAAGGTGAGATTGTGCATTACTGTAGCCTCTGTTGTCCATCTGTCAACAAATAGTTTAACAACTTTTACTTCTGAACTGTTGACGGGAACAAAATTTGACTGAAAACATCCAAAGGTGGTGTCCCAAATTGTACAAATGATGGGGCTGAGAGGCAGGTCAAAAGGGGGTAATTTGGCCATATTGCTTCAGACATCTTCTCTAGAACTATGAAATGGATATTTTGATGGAAGCATATTGAGATGGTGGATCAAAGATGTACAACAATCCCCACCCCCACCCCTGGGGGCCGGAACTGGGTCCAAAGGGATCATTTGGCAATATTGCATTCAATGAAGCAACATGTACTCTGAACCTTTAACCACAAACACAATTGCCGAGTATAAAGAAAGGAATACACATATGCTTCCAGGATAGTCCAGGGTCTACCCCCTCCCCTAGGGGCTTAGTCCCTGGGTCATTTCTTTGAAACTGTTGAAATCCTCGCCCTATAACCATATATACAATTCCAGAGTATAAAGAGAGGAAAGCAAATGTGTAACTAGGATGGCTCAGGGGTCTGGGTCAAACCTTGAGGACTAAGTGCCCGAATTATAACTTTGAAACAGTTGCAATCCCAGCCCGTAACCAAACATAATAACATAATCTATAGAGTATGCTGCTTGGTTTAAAGAGATGAACTCAATATTAATCATAATTGTCTTTTGTCGTGCCCTCAACCCTTAGGGACTACATTTGAGACCCCATGCATCCTATAGTTATATACAATTGCTGAGCACGAAGATTTGGATTTGCACATGCTACCAGGAATGGCTTAGGGTACTGGCCCTATTCCTTGCATCTTGTTTGGATACTTTTAATGAGAATATTTTACCATGATTGCTTAAGTGTCCAGGTGAATGATACAGCTCCTCTGGGCCACTTGTTGATTGTTAGCAGATTGACTAAGAGATAAAATGGAAGGGGAGATGGATGCACAGTAAATATCTTTTCACCTTTTCATTAGTTAGTTAAATAATCAGATGGGTTCCAAACAGGAAGTGGATTACAAGAAACTGATAGCAGGAAGAAGAATTGGGGGGGGGGGGGGGCTTACAGATGACTTATCACACAGGGGGGATAGAAGTTATCATATACATAAATATGCAAAAGCTCTCATTGTACAATTAGGTAGATGTATGATAAAAACCATTTCTGATTTCTGTGGTGAATGATTTATGTTTTTTTTATTGCAGTATTGAAAAGTCAAGGGAGGTAATACCAGCATACATAGAGGCAGCAAAGAATTTACCAAAGGGGAAAGAACTGAACTCTGACCAACTCTACACCCTACTGTTTACCAGACAGAACCTCAAATTTGTCCAGGTTGGCTGCCACAAGAAAGCTGCACGTAGCTCTGGAAACTGTGCTTGGGAGGATTTTACTCGCTAACCAACTTTTTACACACACATCCTGAGAAGATTGATTGCCATATTATTATAGTTTTACAAAGTTGTCTGGATGCCTGTCGTCCACAGTAACTTGTCCGGAAAACTCCATCTTTACTTACAGGCAGATTTTATTAAAACTGCACTTGAATTAACAGTATATTATGTAGTTGTGCACCAGCATTTTAATTTCAGATTTCAAAATGCTTTAAGGGAATTACGGCCCTTTATGCAAAATAACCTGTCAGAAAAACGCCATCTTAACTAATAAGCAGGTTTTATGGAAACTTCACTTAAATGATCAGTATATTATGGAGTTGTGCACCTGTATATTAATTTCAGATTTCAACACTTTTTAAGGGAGTTATGGCCCTTTATGCGAAATATTTTATCCGTAAACCCCAAGGTCAAGGTCACTAAATGATGTATAAATTATCCTCCAGATGACAGTTCTAGTTCTGATATTCTCGATATACCGACATTTAGTATACTCAGAAAGGCTGTATTTACACAGATATTCTGTACAGATTGTCTTTGTAAACAGAAGCTTCATTTGCACTGATTAAAGATAAAATGCTTTATCTTTTGATAATGAGACTTTTTCCACGTTGATGATTAGATTTTTACTACAAAAAAATCAAATAATTTTATTCCTAATATTTGTTTTTAAGGTCACCTGACTATTTGAAAAATATTTACATGTATGTATAAAATAATGCAGGGGTCAAACCAGAGTGTTTGCTCTGGCATCCCTTTACTTTACCAATGTTACTGTCCTGGAAACATAAGCGCACAGCATCAAAATGAAAGCCAAACTTGAAAAAAAACTTGAAAATTAAGTCCCTCTCAGTCAGAAAAAAAAAAATGGTTGTTCCATCTTCTATTCCGTCTTTGCGTATTGCAGAGTTATCTTCTCTTGGGAGCAGGTATTGATTGTTACGTCACTTGTTTGTGAGAGTAACGTCATCAATTTTTGAGAAAACGACTTAATTTTCTCACACAAACCAGTGACGTAACAATCAATACCTGCTCCCAAGAGAAGATAACTCTGCAATACGCAAAGACGGAATATGCAAGGGAGAATATTCCAAGTTGGAAAACCCAGTTCTGAGTGGAACTTTTCTTTTGGATTATAACTGATTCTAATCTGTTAAGTGTCGGGAACAAGGACATGATTGTCTCCTATGTAAAAGCTTGTTTTACTTTGTATGACCAATCTCCTATGTAAAAGTCTGATTTACTTTGCATGAAGTTGAAAGAGTTCTTGATTGCTGTATACAATAGAATGTACTTTGTTTTTAATTGATTTCATTTTGTCTGATGACGAAATTTGGAATTGAAGCTGGAATTTGTTAATATTGATTGGCATCAAAAGATAGATTTTACTTCTACAAAACACTAAACATAAACAGCCTTAGTTTTGCAATGGCCTCTCAGGTTCATGTATCTTGCATGGTTGATGAAGTAAATTTTCCCAATTCATACCACATACAGTAACTATGTGAATATTCCAGCTTTAAGCCATATCTGAACAGAATTGAAAATAATCAGGATTTGTTAATTGTACCGTATACATGTTTTTCCCCCTGTGTTACTTTCATATGAATTCACACAAGTGTTGAAATGATATCTTTTTAGATTGTTGACTCTATACTTCTTCTTAACTTTAAATTTGTACAGCTTTGTTGAATTTTTAGATTTATCATTTGTTATGCAAAAAAAAGGGGCCATCTTTTCTCTATCAATTTCTACTGCTTAGCTTTACGAGGCTGGGCCTCTTGTTGATAATATTGATATACATATCTATACATACCTCTAGTATGTATACCTTTCAGTGATATCTTGTATGATCAATAGAGCTATTGATCTAGTGCAATATGTTTAAATATGTTTATATTTTGATATACTTAACTTTTTAAAGATACTGAAAATATTTCTGACTTTTCTGGTTTATTGTTCGTTATTCATCTGCCATATTTAATTTTTTGATTGGAATACATCAAATTTGGCTCGAAATTAAAAAGTGTGATAGAATGTGTTTAAATCAATTCATATACATGTATACATGTACAATGTATGTAAATATATACATTCCGAGTTAGTCATGCTCTGAAAGTACAGTTATAAATGTCTGGTACAAATGTTGAGCTATGACCTACCAGTATGGTCATGTTCTGTATTACGTTTTGACCTATGACCCAACAAATATTGTGTTCCTATTTGTTCTTTAATCACCCTGTGTGTGGTCAGTTGTTGATTCTGGGTAGGCCTACAATGAATTTGCATCCTGAATGCATGTCTACAATGATTTTAAAAGAGTAAGTATTTTCTTTCTGAGTACAGTGTTTATCTAATATGATGGCACACAATTTATTTTTCAAAATAAAAGAACACGAATATCATATTATATATATATATATAAACAGACATTTCGCTGCAAGTTTAGAAAAAACATTATAATGAAGTAAATAATGTTTGTCAATGACTTATACCACCATAATGAAAACTGCAGGTGAACAGGGCTATCTCACATAGGCAATGTTTTCAAAATCTAAAATGCTGACTATACCCCAGTATAGGGGGCCGCGGTGGCCAGGTGGTTAAGGCGTCTGACATTCTGCTACCACTAGCCCTCCACCGCTGGGTCGCGGGTTTGAGACCTACGTAGGGCAGTCGCCAGGTACTGGCCGTTGGTCGGTGGTTTTTCTCTGGGAACTTCAGCTTTCCTCCACCACCAAAACCTGGCACGTCCTTAAATGACGGTTGACCAGAGCTGTTAATAGGACGTAAAACACAAACAAACAACTATACCCCAGTACAATGTACTACATGTAAATTAGTATATGTTTAACTCGGATCAACTTAAATGATGAATGTCTGTGTTAATGTATAAGAGACACATAGGCTAGGAATAAGAGCCTGAATGTAATTTTGTCTGTAGCTGTGTTGTGTATGCCTACAATGCATCTAAACTTGTAAACATACTAGTAAAGGAAATCAATAAAAGGTTTGATACTTATTTTAATTCTGTTGTGTTGTCTGTGATATGATGGTGAAAACCCAGTTAACGCTTTCACCACTGTAGACCATAATGGACTCATCCAGATCAATGTATGGTAGAGTCTACTAAAATTACCTAGGGGTGAAAGGGTTAAGTTGTTATGCAGTGGTAAGTTTGTATGACATGATGCTATATACATGTACTGCCATTACCATGGAGATGTAACTATTAAAAAAGTGAACATTGGTTCAAACTCAAATATTTCATTAGTGATACACATGGCCATGGCATGAGAATACTGCAAAAATATGTATGTTTACAGTAATATATATATATATATATACACTGTATTTCAACTATCAATGATTAGTAACTGCAATATTTTTTTGTTTCTATTATTTTAAGTAATACAACCTCGCTGAAGGTGGAACTCAACCTTATAGACTAGGGACTAATAATACTAAGATCATGCATCTTTGAAATCCTAGAGTACTGCTTCTCAATACACAAACCTTTGAAATATATTGAGACAAAATTGAAGGTATGCGGTTACCCATTTGATTGGTTTCAGTTGCTTTTCAAGTCGCCAATCAATTTAGAAGATATTTGTATAGAGAGCGGAACTCTTGGATTTCAAAGATAAAGATAACACAGTCTGCGGCATAGTATACTGTATAAGGTTGAAGAATAACTGGAGGAACTCTCTGAATTGTTGAACCTAGAATTGAATGTATAGAGGATGATGGGTAGCTACATCAGGAACTACAACCCCAGGTTTCTGTGGCGGGCCATTTCGGCATTCTGGCAGACCACGATTGGCATCTTTTTAAAACTGGTTACACTGTCTAAAGATACAAGAAACTTTATTTAACGTCGCCTACAGGTAAACAAGGAACATTATTATTGTGACAAATATATACAAGACACAAGAAACTTTATTTAACATCGCCTACAGGTAAACAAGGAACATTATTATTGCGACAAACATATACAAGATACAAGAAACTTTATTTAACGTCGCATATATCAAACAGAGAAACATTAGCGCTGTAGCGCTATTTTTGCGACAAACATGATAAAAAGTAAACAGAAAACAACAAATCAAGCTATACACTATCACAGAAAGCTAACACATAATCAGCGAGTAAAACATACAATAACATAGCAGCATATAAATAGATATCACAGGCACTAAATTTAAAGTACTATTCTAAAAATGATTTAAAGAGATAATAGTGAAACACCTGCATATCACACAGGTGTTGCTATATATTGGAGGGTTAAAACACTTCAAGTGTAATGTACATACATGCTAATATAGCAAAAGAGTAAAAATTGACATAATATACACTAATATAGCGTAAATTAAAATAGGACTACAAGGTCTAGTAAGTAAAAGATATTGAGCTATAATGATGATTAGAAGAGAGGGCTAGAAACTATGCTGCCAGTTATTGGTATATAAAAGCGCTATGCGCAGCAGAAGTTAAGCTAAATAGGTAGGTAAATAAATAATAGATAAATAAAGCAGGTAACTAGTAAAAAAGACTAAAGCACTGAAAAAACATTAAAACTCTAGACACAGTTACAGATACGACATGAGCAAACGGGGCCATCCCAGGAGTGGCGCAGTCTGGCAAACTCTGGATAACTATCCACCTTCCTCAAATGGTTTGGCAGACTGTTCCACACCCGGGCGGCCTCGTAGCGAAAAGGCTATGTAAAGTAACAATAACATATTATATTACAAGTAAAGAGAGATAATCACATATTAATTTTAAAAAACCAGTAATAATCATCACAGAAAAAGAAAGTATCCATATCCCAGGTTTCTAAGTGATTCTCAGTAATCCTGTTTGTAACGGGATCGACTATGATACTAAATCAGAACCGTAGCTGCCAAACACTGGTATGCAGGTGAAGCCACCAAATTGCCAAACAAAACAAATACTGTTGTTCCCCTTGTCCCCCTACCAAGGGCCTGCCCCTAAATGAATCAACTCTGAACAAGGGCTAGTTACGCCCATGTAAATGCAGGAAAGGCGGAAACAAGACCAAAGGCTGACATGACCATCCAGTAAATATAACCATAGGAGCTTAATGGACTTACAATAACAACTAGCACACGTGTCAAGTGTCATGTGGGATCATGGCATTACAAGAATTTATATATTTTCCGCCTGAAGAAGCCCTAGAAGGTAGAATTAAAGGCCTATTCTATTCTATATTTTACTTTGCAAGAACTTATTTATCTAGTATCTTACTTACATCATGGATTAGAAAGAAGTTTAAGCCAGGCACTGGCCGTAGGTCGGTGGTTTTTCTTCAGGAACTCAACCTTTCCTCCAAAACCTGGTACGTCCTTAAATGACCAAAGCTGTTAAAAGGTCGAGGTAAAACACAAACAAACAAACAAACAGAAGTTCAAGCCATGGAAGCCAGGTTGCTTATCACAAGTAAAGGAACATAAGATAGTTTCCACTGAAAGATCTGGGAGAGGCAATTCCATTGATAGTTTTAGTAACTGAAGTGTTTTAAGGAATGACAGGACTATACTTCACATGCTTTTAACAGAATCAAGAGGTTATAGAAGCTACATAAACGGATATATTATTAAGATAGACTGGTTCCTTGAACGATGTGTCCACTCACGTCGAGAGGAAGCAAGCAGCTACAGTGTTGACCTGTGATACCAGAACGCTCCCCAAGTGTACACCAACATAACCCATCAAGGTTCAGCCGCCGCTGTCGTAAGTTGAAGACGAACATAAAGAGAGAGGAACTAGGCTGATCATGTCTTTGACATTCTCCAAAAATGTTAAAAGCAATGAGGCTTTTGTGCAAGAGTGAAAAGAAAGGAATGGGTGGCAAGCAAGGCAATGGA